CATTTATTACTGAAAATGATCAGTTCCTGGGGCCCAGAAATCTCCACACCACACCACTGTACCTCTGGGCTGTTTTTCACAGTGAACTTTTTGGTTTACTCCTCAGTGAGCAGGCAGGTCAGGTTGTAATTATCAGGAAAACTTGGCACTTTTCTTGAGACGATTCTTTAAAAACAAATACAGCGTGTTGAAGGATGCTCAAATATGTGGAATAGAGAGAAACGATGAGTGCATAATGAAACATTTGAGACAAGAATACAAAACGGGGTTTGACAGACTTAAAGGTAACCCTTTTTTATTTTGTTTCATTTTGTTCCTTGTCTGTTTAAAAAAAACAACAACAACAAACCACTCTTAAAATGTATAAATACTTATGTGTTCTTTCCTTTGTATAATGTGTAATTTGCTATTTTGTTCTAATAGACTTGTGTAATAAATTAAGCTTTTTATAAGTGTAACAATTCTCACTGGAATCATTTTAAGTGTCTTAAAAACAGATTGAATGTCTGTTTTACATTCATAGCATGTTATCAATAGGAATGTCTTAAACACAGTTTAGCAGACTCATTATTTGAACTACAGAATAAAATATGCATGTTTACTGACTACCAACAATTGTTTTAAATATTGATTCATCTTTCAGTCTACAAAATGCCAGAAAAAAGGAGAAATACAGAATACATTTTCCACATTTTAAGGTGATATCCTCAAATGTCTTCTTTTGTCCGACAAACTCCAAGATATTAAAATGAACAGACTGATTTTCCTTGCAGCTCTAGTGTGATATGCTGATAGGAAAGTTGTCTTTGAGGAATGATTTAAAAATCTGTGCAGACATTGCAGATCCTTTATTTTATCACCAGTCTGTGTTTTCCTTTTCATGGGATCTGCTGCCTTATCCTTTCATCTCTGTGTGTGTGTGTGTGTGTGTGTGTGTGTGTGTGTGTGTGTGTGTGTGTGTGTGTGTGTGTGTGTGTGTGTGTGTGTGTGTGTGTGTGTGTG